TTATAATTGTTTTTGTCACCAGGCTATCTTTGAGTCTGTTTAAGGCTTGATTGGAATGACTGGGGGGACAATAAACGAGCTGGCAGCTGTACTGACATGTACACATTGACTGACATGCGGAGACATCTAGCTGCCAGTGAGAGCAGCCTGTTCATATTACTTCCTGTTGTAAAGTGATCAACAAGAGATATGTACCACTGACAATCCGATACAAGCCTGGCTACACACTCACCGATCACCCCCGTCTATTTCAGATGAATACACACAAACAATGGCATTCTGTTTAAAATGAAACAACGCACCAACTCTCAGTGTGGCCGGCGTCATTCTAAGTTTCTCGCGTAATCTCCAGATGCATATTAACGTCAGTAATCTCGTTGACAAGCAGGGAATCCCCTTGAATTCTCAGATGTGATTTTGCTTACCGGAACCTTTCCCCCTTGCAACTTCGTATACGTGTATGTGTCTTAAATTTTGCATGTAAAATTATGTACTTCAATATACATCAATTACACAAATTGCAAAATTTAATTTCACATTATAAGAAGGTTTGGTGTGGTGCGATGTGCACGTGGCAGAGAAGCAAAAGAGGAATAGCCAGTTGAGGATCAATCGATAGTAAGTTGACAGTGAATTAATAAATTGTACAATGGATTTGTAAAAAAATGTGTACATGTAGGTTTACTAAAGTAGACGGAATGATCCCATGTCTAGGCGCCTTAATAAAAACAACATACCTTTAATCAAAGAATCACCCGATTAAACTTCGATTGATTGCTCATGTTCTAACTAAATGAAGTTTTTAAAGAAATTTGGCGGAGAAAAGAGTGCCGAACACAAATCAAACTAATCAAAATTAAAATAATGATTAATTAATAATTAAGCAAATCTTGATTCCGCTAAGAAAACGTCAATCCATATTTCCATAGTTTTAAAAACGTTCTGTTTTGTCAGTAGAATCACAATATGACATGGTACTAGAATGTACATAAGCAATGACAAAATGTTTTTCATGTGACAACACGGTGACACGTTTTAAGATGTTAAGATTATAGCGATGGCTTACCACTTTGCCTTTCGTTTTTTGTGATGAGACATGAACATTTTGGATCAGCTGCCGAATTCGTCAACAGCCATTCTCAGCGTACTTATAAATCATGCGATCATAATGAACATGTTTATAAAACTGTTGTCATCTTTGCAAGCAATGCACATTACACACATACAGCTATGCATGGATGAAGTGCACATGCGCTCGCTGAATGACGGGGCTTACCGGATGCAGGAATAATTGTGCTATGCACTGGCTTTCCACCACCACAGACAGCCTTGCTTCATTTGGTCGGCAAAATACAACCTATCTGCATTATCAGTAAAGGGGGATCCACTTATAATAGTGCCGTCCGTACTTGGCCACACCCCGCTTACTGCGGGCCCGACCAGGCGTGTCGTCCTAGCATGGTGCACGGCAATACTGAAGGCTCGGGTCGTTGTTGCAGTGGGCAGCCGTGGTTATAATTCTGGACCAGTCAGCTGAGACTTGTGTTCTCCATTATGAAATGGGATAAATTCCCCAGAGAAATTAAGTCCATCACGTATTCCTTCTATTTAACTGTACACCTAACGCACATCAAAATATTTACTACTGCTTGCGTGGTCGGATGCTAAATGTCCATATCGTGCAGGATCTCCGAGTTGCATCTGAGGAGGAATCAGTTCACCCACACACCTCACGTATAGACATTGCAGGTGTCATCAAGATTGGCAATCACTGTCTAGTGTTACTCTATCAGGGTTGTAACAATCACTGTGTGCTGATACCACCTCCAGTACAGATGTTCTATCGTGACTGTAACAATCACTGTACACTAATACCACCTGTAGTACTGATGCTCTATCGTGACTGTAACAATCACTGTACACTAATACCACCTGTAGTACTGATGCTCTATCGTGACTGTAACGATCACTGTACACTAATACCACCTGTAGTACTGATGCTCTATCGTGACTGTAACAATCACTGTACACTAATACCACCTCCAGTACTGATGCTCTATCGTGACTGTAACAATCACTGTACACTAATACCACCTCCAGTACTGATGCTCTATCGTGACTGTAACAATCACTGTACACTGATGCCACCTCCAGTACTGATGCTCTGTCGTGACTGTAACAATCACTGTACACTAATACCACCTCCAGTACTGATGCTCTATCGTGACTGTAACAATCACTGTACACTAATACCACCTCCAGTACTGATGCTCTATCGTGACTGTAACAATCACTGTACACTAATACCATCTCCAGGAGTGAAGCTCTATCGTGACTGTAACAATCACTGTACACTAATACCACCTGTAGTACTGATGCTCTGTCGTGACTGTAACAATCACTGTACACTAATACCACCTGTAGTACTGATGCTCTATCGTGACTGTAACAATCACTGTACACTGACACCACCTCCAGTACTGATGCTCTATCGTAACTGTAACAATCACTGTACACTAATACCACCTCCAGTACTGATGCTCTATCGTGACTGTAACAATCACTGTACACTAATACCACCTCCAGTACTGATGCTCTATCGTGACTGTAACAATCACTGTTTACTGATACCACCTCCAGTACTGATGCTCTATCGTGACTGTAACGATCACTGTGTACTGATACCATCTCCAGTACTGATGCTCTATCGTGACTGTAACAATCACTGTATACTGATACCACCTCTAGTACTGATGATCTATCGTGACTGTAACAATCACTGTATACTGATACCACCTCCAGTACTGATGCTCTATCGTGACTGTAACAATCACTGTATACTGATACCACCTCTAGTACTGATGCTCTATCGTGACTGTAACAATCACTGTGTACTGATACCACCTCTAGTACTGATGCTCTATCGTGACTGTAACAATCACTGTATACTGATACCACCTCTAGTACTGATGCTCTATCGTGACTATAACAATCACTGTATACTGATACCACCTCTAGTACTGATGCTCTATCGTGACTATAACAATCACTGTATACTAATACCATCTCCAGGAGTGAAGCTCTATCGTGACTGTAACAATCACTGTACACTAATACCACCTCCAGTACTGATGCTCTGTCGTGACTGTAACAATCACTGTACACTAATACCACCTGTAGTACTGATGCTCTATCGTGACTGTAACAATCACTGTACACTGACACCACCTCCAGTGCTGATGCTCTATCGTAACTGTAACAATCACTGTACACTAATACCACCTCCAGTACTGATGCTCTATCGTGACTGTAACAATCACTGTACACTAATACCACCTCCAGTACTGATGCTCTATCGTGACTGTAACAATCACTGTTTACTGATACCACCTCTAGTACTGATGCTCTATCGTGACTGTAACGATCACTGTGTACTGATACCATCTCCAGTACTGATGCTCTATCGTGACTGTAACAATGACTGTATACTGATACCACCTCTAGTACTGATGATCTATCGTGACTGTAACAATCACTGTATAATCACTACTGATGCTCCATCGTGATACTGATACCACCTCCAGTACTGATGCTCTATCGTGACTGTAACAATCACTGTATACTGATACCACCTCTAGTACTGATGCTCTATCGTGACTGTAACAATCACTGTATACTGATACCACCTCTAGTACTGATGCTCTATCGACTGTAACAATCACTGTATACCAATCTGACTCGTATAACAACTGATACCACCATATCTGAGTAACAATCACTGATGATACCACCTCTTAGTACTGATGCTCTATCGTGACTGTAACAATCACTGTATACTGATACCACCTCTAGTACTGATGCTCTATCGTGACTATAACAATCACTGTATACTGATACCACCTCTAGTACTGATGCTCTATCGTGACTGTAACAATCACTGTATACTGATACCACCTCTAGTACTGATGCTCTATCGTGACTATAACAATCACTGTATACTGATACCACCTCTAGTACTGATGCTCTATCGTGACTGTAACAATCACTGTATACTGATACCACCTCTAGTACTGATGCTCTATCGTGACTATAACAATCACTGTATACTGATACCACCTCTAGTACTGATGCTCTATCGTGACTGTAACAACCACTGTACACTGATACCCCGTATATGTACTGATGCTCTATCGTGACTGTAACAATCACTGTATACTGATACCACCTCTAGTACTGATGCTCTATCGTGACTATAACAATCACTGTATACTGATACCACCTCTAGTACTGATGCTCTATCGTGACTGTAACAACCACTGTACACTGATACCCCGTATATGTACTGATGCTCTATCGTGACTGTAACAATCACAGTATACTGATACCACCTCTAGTACTGATGCTCTATCGTGACTATAACAACCACTGTATACTGATACCACCTCTAGTACTGATGCTCTATCGTGACTGTAACAACCACTGTACACTGATACCCCGTATATGTACTGATGCTCTATCGTGACTGTAACAATCACTGTACACTAATACCACCTCTAGTACTGATGCTCTATCGTGACTATAGCAACCACTGTACACTGATACCCCGTATATGTACTGCAGCTATATCGGATTCCTGTCGTGACTGCTGCAATGTCTGACAGTAACAAGAGTTGCTTGTTACTGGACCCTCGAACAGAGAAACGTTGACAGATAGCACTGACATAATACTTTCTTCAATGTTGTAAACAGCGTCACACAAGTACATTATCTGTGATGTATCTGATCTGGCGTACATAAGTCATATCATCAGGTGTAAGGTAATACCACATCATTACCTCCACCACAAAGTGAGTCGTGTCACCAAAGATGTAACATCCCTGGTGTGCCGCACCTCGTGACCTCCAGATGAGGGACGGAGCAGCTCTGTGTGGAGGCAGTACAGGATGTTGTAGTGATGATCGGTCAAGCATACCGTGTGATAAGCTTCACTTTATTGACAGATTCCGTCTATATGATTATCGGCCTCGACTGACTGACTACGACTGAGTGAACAGCGCTACCCCAGTGGTAGGAGCGCGGCCACACAAGGCAGGTAAGTACATTTTCAGTGTTATACACACCCCGATGTCAGCATCATACCTTCCTGGCAATGCTTCACCTCCGCTTGGTAACAAGCATCAAGCTAACATCTAGGGTGGGGTTTTAAGGTGTTTGTAATTGTTCAGGTCCTACAATGTAAATACACACGTAATACCAACATGACAGAATATGTTAAGGTTATACGTTTGGTGTTATAGTGGAGAGACATTACTGCCGACCTCATTATTATTTTAAACTGATCGGCATTCGCAATTGTTGCTTATCGAAGCCCTCACAATGAAGGTATGATATTGTAAACCCCCGCTATAACACCTTCAGTATCACTGCCACACCACTGAAAACAGATAATACACCTGTATGTCATATCACCTTCTACCATGGGCATTCTGACATTCAGATTACCGTGATGTCGTAGATGTACATATATAGTGATGGGAATATTGTTGTGTGACATATATAGTGATGAGAATATTGTTGTGTGACGTGTAGTAATGGGAATTTTGCTGTGTGGCATGTGTAGTGATGGGAATATTGTTGTGAGATATCTGTAGTGATGGGAATTTTGTTGTGTGACATATATAGTGATGGGAATATTGCTGTGTGAACTGTGTAGTGATGGGAATATTGCTGTGTGACATATGGTTTAAACATATTTATTTCATGAAAAAGCAACGACAGAATTTTCATGAACTGGATTGGTCAACAAGCTCAAAAGAACTTATATAAAGACCGCTCCAATATACTTAGATATATGAAACAGTATCATGACAAGAAAAGATGGTATCTAAAATGAAAGTAGATGGTATTATATGTAGTCGGAAAATTAAAATCATGATGGTTGTATACATTTATGGCATCTGCAGTCGGGATCCATAGCAGTATAGCTTTGAGAATTATAGGTTTTAGTGTATGACTTGCTCAGTTAAAGCGCCTAGTTTCAATTATAAATAGATGGACTGATTTTAAGATATGTGATTGAATTTGTGGGTCCATGGAAGACGTTCCGTATAAGATTGTTTCTAATGAAAAGCTATTGGTATAATAAAATTTATTTACTCTTACAGTATCAAATCTGGGACATACAAAGAAAAATGACGTGCATCTTCAGTAGGGTGGCCACACAAACAATCTGCTCTCTCTGATATATGTCGGTTGTGTTTGTCAGCGTTGAGATCGCTACATCCTAACCTTAGGCGAGAGTGAAGGATTTGACAAACTCTTGAACCTATATTTGGATCGAAATGAATGTCTTTAGCTCTGGGACTTAAGGTAGATTTAAAATCATTGATGTCTGTAAGAGATTTAATATTTTGCGGTAAAGCATTCCATAAACTTACAGCGTCCAGTAGAAATGAATTGTCATATAGAGCAGTACGGCAGGCAATAGTTTGCAAATGCGATGCGTTACGTTACGGATAGTTACTGACTTGAGAAACGAAGGGAGGGACGAGTTCGTTTAGATAGTGGGGTAATCTGGTATGATACATTTTGAAAAATGTGATTAGTTTAGCTATTCTTCTTCTTTCGCGAAGAGAAACAGAGGATGTTTCAGCGTAGATTTTATCGTGACTGGTGCCGCGAACAGCTCCACATATCGTACGTAACGCGTCTAAGTGCATGTTTTCCAAGATTGTTGCTTGTGTTTTGGTACAATTGTCATAAATATGGCTACAGTAGTCAAAGATCGGAAGTATAAACGACGTATACATACAATTCAGGGTGTTTCTCGTTAGTCGATATTTAAGGCTTCTTAAGCAATTTATCATGGGTCTGACTCTGTTAACGATATCGTTTATATGTATATCCCATGTACAATCGTTTTGAAGAGTTATACCTAAATGTTTATGGCTCGAAGTTTCTTCAATTCGAACGTCGTTGAAAAATAAACTTGGATGAGGATTTGAATTTGGTTTCCTACTGAATAAGACTGTTTTAGTTTTAGATGGGTTGAAATCGATTTTCCAGGTTTTTGCCCAGTTTGCTATTTTTAGTAGATCATTATTCAGACTAAACGCCGCTACGTAAGGGTCATCTATTATTACATAGATAGAAGTATCATCGGCAAATAATCGTATATTACTGTCAATGCCATCAATAATATCATTTATGTAGACCAAAACAGAAGTGGTCCTAGAACAGAACCCTGCGGGACGCCAGCTTTTACCGGTTTAATATTAAAACTATAACCATTTATACTACACGCTGGGATCGATATTCTAAATAACTTTTAAACCATTGTAATAGTGAACCATCGATTCCACAAGATTTTAACTTATGCACGAGACCTTTGTGCCATACTCGATCAAAAGCTTTGCTGTGTGACATATATAGTGATGGGAATATTGTTGTGTGCATGTGTAGTGATGGGAGTATATCTGTGTGATATATACATATTTAGTGATGGGAATATTGCTGTGTGACATGTGTAGTGATGGGAGTATATCTGTGTGACATATATAGTGATGGGAGTTTATCTGTGTGACATATATAGTGATGGGAATATATAGTGATAGTGATGGGAATATTGCTGTGTGACATATATAGTGATGGGAATATTGCTGTGTGACATGTGTAGTGATGGGAGTATATCTGTGTGACATATATAGTGATGGGAATATTGTTGTGTGACGTAGTAATGGGAACATTGTTGTGTGACGTGTAGTAATGGGAACATTGTTGTGTGACGTGTAGTAATGGGAACGTTGTGTGACGTGTAGTAATGGGAACATTGTTGTGTGACGTGTAGTAATGGGAACATTGTTGTGTGACAGGTGTAGTAATGGGAACGTTGTGTGACGTGTAGTAATGGGAACATTGTTGTGTGACAGGTGTAGTAATGGGAACGTTGTGTGACGTGTAGTAATGGGAACATTGTTGTGTGACGTGTAGTAATGGGAACATTGTTTCGTGACGTGTAGTAATGGGAACATTTTGTGTGACGTGTAGTAATTGGAACATTGTTGTGTGACGTGTAGTAATGGGAACATTGTTGTGTGACGTGTAGTAATGGGAACATTGTTGTGTGACGTGTAGTAATGGGAACATTGTTGTGTGACAGGTGTAGTAATGGGAACGTTGTGTGACGTGTAGTAATGGGAACATTGTTGTGTGATGTGTAGTAATGGGAACATTGTTGTGTGACGTGTAGTAATGGGAACATTGTTGTGTGACGTGTAGTAATGGGAACATTATTGTTGTGACGACGTGTAGTAATGGGAACATTGTTGTGTGACGTGTAGTAATGGGAACATTGTTGTGTGACGTGTAGTAATGGGAACATTGTTATGTGACGTGTAGTAATGGGAACATTGTTTCGTGACGTGTAGTAATGGGAACATTGTTGTGTGACGTGTAGTAATGGGAACATTGTTGTGTGACGTGTAGTAATGGGAACATTGTTGTGTGACGTGTAGTAATGGGAACATTGTTGTGTGACGTGTAGTAATGGGAACATTTTTGTGTGGCATGTGTAGTAATGGGAATATTGTTGTGTCGCATGTATAGTGATCGGAATATTGTTGTGTCGCATGTGTAGTGATGGGAACATTTTTGTGTGGCATGTGTAGTAATGGGAATATTGTTGTGTGGCATGTGTAGTGATCAGAATATTGTTGTGTCCCTGGGTAGTAATGGGAATATTGTTGAGTAACATGTGTAGTGATGGGAATATTGTTGTGTCGCATGTGTAGTGATGGGAATATTGTTTTTAGACATGTGTAGTAATGGAATATTGTTGTGAGATATCTGTAGTGATTGGAATGTTGTTGTGTGACATGTTGAAGCATGTGTGATAGACATGTTCCCGGAGTGTGACAAGGTCTATACATTGTTCTTGTAATTCACTAGACATATGTCCTAAGTGTGACAAAGTTCATGTATTGTGTTTGTCGTTCACTAGACATGTTCCCGGAGTGTGACAAGGTCTATATATTGTTCTTGTAATCCACTAGACATGTTCCCGGAGCGTGATAAGGTCCATGTATTGTTCTTGTAAATCACTAGACATGTTCCCGGAGTGTGACAAGGTCTATATATTGTTCTTTTAATTCACTAGACATGTTCCCGGAGCGTGACAAGGTCTATATATTGTTCTTTTAATTCACTAGACATGTTCCCGAAGTGTAACACGGTGTATGTATTGTTCTTGTAATTCACTAGACATGTTCCCGGAGTGTAACAAGGTCTATATATTGTTCTTGTAATTCACTCAGACATGTTCCCGGAGCGTGATACGGTCTGCGCTCTGAACTCCACTCACATTGTTTGTGTCGGAGTTGGGTACTGAACTCCACTCACATTGTTTGTGTCGGAGTTGGGTACTGATCTCCACTCACATTGTTTGTGTCGGAGTTGGGTACTGAACTCCACTCACATTGTTTGTGTCGGAGTTGGGTACTGAACTCCACTCACATTGTTTGTGTCGGAGTTGGGTACTGAACTCCACTCACATTGTTTGTTTCGGAGTTGGGTACTGATCTCCACTCACATTGTTTGTGTCGGAGTTGGGTACTGAACTGATCTCCACTCACATTGTTTGTGTCGGAGTTGGGTACTGAACTCCACTCACATTGTTTGTTTGTCGGAGTTGGGTACTGAACTCCACTCACATTGTTTGTGTCGGAGTTGGGTACTGTTTGTGTCTGGGTACTGAACCACTCACATTGTTTGTGTGTGTCTGAACTCCACTCACATTGTTTGTGTCGGTACTGAACTCCACTCACATTGTTTGTGTCGGAGTTGGGTACTGAACTCCACTCACATTGTTTGTGTCGGAGTTGGGTACTGAACTCCACTCACATTGTTTGTGTCGGAGTTGGGTACTGACACATTGTTTGTGTCGGAGTTGGGTACTGAACTCCACTCACATTGTTTGTGAACATTGTTGGGTACTGAACTCCACTCACATTGTTTGTGTCGGAGTTGGGTACTGATCTCCACTCACATTGTTTGTGTCGGAGTTGGGTACTGAACTCCACTCACATTGTTTGTGTC